ATAATTTTATATTTTTGCCTACTAATTTTCATTTCAGCTTTACAAATATTTATTAAGAATCCAATGCTGCATTAATTGAGAAATAAAAAAAGGGGGGAAATCTCTGCTCTCAAAGACTTTTGATCTTATTCGCACACTTAGGAAGCAGTTCAGAGCACTATCATTGAAAGTCAAAATAATGATACAGACTATAAACCGTCAAAGGGATGAAAGCGGGTTGGTGGTGAGAATAAGGATGGCCACAGCGGAGGGAAGAGCTGGAGCACAGTGGGCGGAGGAGTGGGGAGCACAGACAGGGTGCAGGGGAAATGAACGTGTCACACTGGAAAAACTGAGCAGTGCCTCAAGTAGCTTAATTAGAGTTTGGTGTGAGCAGAGAATTATGAATTGATATTGTTAGCTCTAACTGAGGAGTACGAATTTCATTCCAAACCACCAGGAGTCTGAAAGTTTCTGGGGTGGGAAGTTACGTGACGAAAACGGTGTCCTGATCAGATTAATGTGGACGTGAGTATTGAACGGACTGCAGAAGTCTGACACCATCTGTCACTTTCAGAGGAAAACAAAAGCAAGGAAAAAGCAACACACTTAGAAAGAGAATTCCCCTTGCCCCCTAAAAAAAAAAAAAAGAAAAGCTTCCAAGAAGGAAACAATAAGGCTAAAATAATAAGCAAAAAGTATTTTTATTTTCTGAATTATTAGCTAATGGTCAAACAAACCCTTTACAGGTCTGCATAGGGCCCTGGTGTAGAGAAGAGTACTCTCTGAAAATCAGCACAAATGCACGACTTCATTCGGGAGAAAAGAAAAGCTACAAAATACACAGTAAGTGATGGGAAGAGGAATAGGTGAATTTCAAGTTCATTCACTTCTGCTCCCTGAATAATTCTGCCACCAAGCACTTAGCCTGGGGCTCAGGGAGCCGGTTTTGGTGGTGACACATGACACGGCACACCCTGACATCCACAGGACAATGGCATCCAACAGGGCCCCTGCCCTGTGAGGGCAGGTGGGTTCCTCTCTCCCACCAGAGCAGCCATTTTTCTCCATTTTGCACTAGGTTTCCCCTTAGGATTTCATGCTTTTAAAACATTCAAAACTCCTGACTTGTTCTCCACCACTGCCTGGACATTTCCTAAAAGAGCTATAACCCCATCCTTATAAGAGTCAGATCCTTACAAAAATGCGCTGCCGTTGAGGGCACCAAATTCCTCCACCCAGCACTAGCTGTCTCCTATTTTTATTTGGCTGACTTTTTCCTGTCATCCTGAATCAACCTAAGAACAAGTAGGGATATTAGGAAATGCTATACATCAACACACGTGTGAGCATAAGATCAAGTCTGCAGAGAACGTTTGTGAGCCAAACTTAGGACAACTGTCGGGAAGCAAAAGCTCAATGGGCTGAGAAATGGTCTGGAAAAATGGCAGTTTTGCACCTCACTTTACCCAATAAAATCTAAAGAGGAGGCATAAATGGGTTACGTGAAATCCAGTGGTGACAGGTCAGGGAGGCAGCAGGAACCTCGGGGACTGGATAAAAAGTCAAATGATAGACACACCTTTTACACAGGTGGGTCCAGGACAGTAACAGTCAACAATGAACACGAAAACAGTCACAGTGAGGGGACTTGCGGTCTCCCCCCAGTGCGGTGTCTGTCCTTTGAGGGGTCCGGAAAAGGCAATTGGACATTCTAAAGGTATGTTATCGTAAATGTGAAAAAAAACAGGCTCAGTTAAGGTGAAGATTGACCTCTGTCAGGGAAAAATACCTGCCTGGGACATGACGACCCATCACGAGCTGCTTTTGGTTAGAAAGTCCCCATTTCAGACCATCCTGTGCGGTTACTTTAGGTCTCTGAGTGTGGAAGGCCCCCACGCAGCACCCCCACCCCACCTTGTCAGGTTTCGCACCTGGCCCCTTTCCTTCCATACATGACATGTTCGTGCCTCCCAGGAAATTTTAGTTTTGTTTAAAGATCACTACTGAATAAGACGGCAATCTAATATTATCCTTTTTCAGCAATGTCCACTCTATTATATGCTAATTGGGCATATTCAGAATTTAAAGTAAACTGGTTTGTTTTTGCTTTTTTTATATTGCTTTGTTTTTAGCATTCAGCATAAAGAGGGAACAATGGAATATTTTAAGTATATCCAAATGAAGCTGTTAGAACAAGGTTTTAAAATAGTTCACAGTCATATTCCCAAACTACACAGGAATTTTTCATATAAACCAATCATAAATTAGATGTATAAGAATCTTTACTCTAAAGGAATCTTTACTTTGCTCTGAATATGTCTGAGATAGCTCTGTACCTTCCGCTCCTGACCTTGGTCTCCCCTCTCCCTTCTGCTATCTCTTCACTCTTTCTTCCTTCTATGGCCACAGTATTTAACTTGCTTGATATAATCAGGGATTCAAAGTTTATAGTCTCTGCTTTATCATTCAGTAAGAGGACTTTTTTTTGCTGACTTTAAAAAATACTGTTTCCTTCCTGAATTAATTTTTGTTGTGCAACCTGAACTGATTTACTCAGTGCGTTAGTGTTGTGGCAAGGTGCTGCTTGCTCACTGCAGATTAACAGTTTTTGTAATGGGGTGCAGGGTGGGATCCCTTGAAATAGCAAAGCATACCCCCACAACCCTTGACTAGGGGGAGAGCGGAGTGGATGATAGGTTTAAGATACTTTGCATAACACTGGTAAGTTGACAGCTGTGCCTTTCCTGAAGGGAAGAGGCCTGCGGCCCGGGGTGCAGGTGTACCTATTTGAAGAGCATACAGTGACTCCTCACACAACCAGGGGAGACGATGCCTACCCCAGGGGCCCCCATGTCCCTGGGAACTCTTGCCCTGACTAAAGATGGCAACCAAAAGAAGATAAAAGATACATAGGATCTGGCAAAAATGGCAGACACTAACACATCATAGGAGGGGCCAGTTATGAGGTCAAGCAGGAAGTTCTAGGCCAAGCTTTCAAATGAGGGCAGGCAGAAAGGGTGGAGAAAAGAGTCCACCCCGAAAACAAGAGGTCAGGAGTAAGTGGCAGAGGCGCAGGAGCGCACCACGAGGTCTGCAGGGGGAGGAGGGGATGGAGATGCAGGGACCTGCCCAGCCAAGCGCGGATGCATAAGAGGTGCTTGGGGCTGAAGTGTGACTGGGGATGCAGAAGCGTGACGGGGGATGGATGCTGAGTTGCAGACTTCTACTTCTCTGGAGGATGTACAGAAAAGTCACTGTCTTGGGAACAGGGAGGCTCTAAAACCCACAAGAATACTTTCCAGGGAGGACAGAGACCTGTTTGTGCAGCTGGCTGAAGAACATGTAAGGATATGGGGAACTTCAGGCCAAGGTTTTGGCTTGCAGCCTGGCACGGGGTGGGAGTGGGGGCGGGGGCAGGGGCAAGGGAAGAGCCAGTTCTTGCGGGACAGGAGTGCTCTCAGCCCCAGCCCTGCCCAGGCTGAAACCCTGTTAATAAAAATCTGTCTCCTTCAACACTAATTGTTGGGTCATGTGTCAAGGCGCCACAAGGCCGAGCGAGCTGCGGTTTGCTCAGCTACAGTTTTACTAAGATTTTTGGATCAAAGGAATCATTCCTTGGACAGTATTAAAATTATAGTTTTACTATGTAAATTGCTTTAAAAAATGGTACCAGAATTTTGGGACTTATTTCTCATGTCTCACTTGCTTTAAAAATTCAAATTTCCTTAAATAGTTGTCTTTTAAGTGAATAAAATATCTAACTTATAACATCTTATAAAAATGCTATAAATTTAATGAGTACCTATGTTGTAACTTGGCTTTGACACTTGTATGATTTTACCATCAATTCACAGAATTGTCAATATTATAGAATTTAACTAATAGCAAATGTATGAACAACCACAAAAAAAAAAAAGAGAGAAAATGAAGCAGAGAATTAACTCTTCCAAATCAGATAGTTGATAAAATAGCAGGGATCAGAAATCTGAACTCTTAGTTCCTGGAATACGACCATTAACTTCTGTGTTTCTATCATTTATGATTTCTTGTTTGTTTTTTATATAACCAACTTAATCATAAATACAAAGAGAACGACTCATTTCTGTTTTAATTCAGAGAATATTTAAATAGTCTTCTTCTATTACTGTAATGTTATAAGACAACGTTCTGCATTGAAAAAAATTAAAATAAGACATTGAACATAAATAAAGAGAAAATGAGCCCTGGCTGGTGTAGCTCAGTGGACTGAGCACGGGCCTGCGGACCAAAGTATCACGGTTCAATTCCCAGTCAGGGCACATGTCTGGGTTGCAGGCCAGTTCCCAGCAGGAAACACATGAGAGGCAACCATACATTGATATTTCTCTCCCTCTCTCTCCTTCCCTTCCCCTCTAAAGATAAATAAATAAATATTTTTAAAAAAAGAGAGAAAATGAGATACTATATAGTTCGGGGGCATCTGTTGTAAATAAGAAAGAGAAGTTAGCTTTAAAAGTCAAACAGAGCCCTGGCTGGGTGGTTCAGTTCATTGGAACATTGTCCTGCACACCAAAAGGTTGTGGGTTCGATTCCTGGTCAGGGCACATACCTAGATAATAGGTTCAGTCTCCAGTTGGGGCACATACAGGAGGCAACTAATCAATGTTTCTTTCTCATACTGATGTGTTTGTCTGTCTGTCTGTCTCCCCCACCCTTTCTCTCTCACTAAAATCAATAAAAACGTATCGTTGGATGAGGATTAAAATTTAAAAGAAATAATAATAAAATCCAATAGAAACCCTCATAAGCAAATGCATAACTTGCCTTTGTTTCACTGAATAAACAACTACACCTTTACCAAACACTGTGTCTCAAGTGCGTGCTTCTCCGAATGTTACAGGGCTTAGTATGTGAGACGCTGCAGGACAGCACGTCACTAACTCTGATTCTGAGTGGACATCCCTTAAGCAAGGAAGTATGGAAGGAAAACGATCACGGGACAAACACTCTTGGAGTTCAGCAGCACGTAAGGTACTAGCCTGTCGTGCGCGGCGATCATAAAGTTGAGGAGGAGGCTGATGGACTGGTCCACACTGATCTGGTGAGGAGAGGGCAGGCGCTTGTTCAGCTGGTAGTAGATGGACGAGATGACGGTTTCGAGGCGGGACACGCTAATCTCGGTGCTGGGGTCCAGTGTGTTAAGGCCATTGTCTCGGAAGGCTTCGATCATGTTCCAGATGTCAACAAGATGGACTACCACACAAAGCAAACAAACCGTCAACAGGTTAGAAGTTTTAATTCATCAGAAAGACAAACAAACTTTACATGTATTTACATTTAATAGATCCGCGAAGGCTGGCAGAATATGCCACCCCAACATGCCACTTTGGCACAAGGATTCCTTTGAGCTAAAGGACAGCAGGTGCCAAAGGTGAGGTGTCCTGACCCTCACCTGTCCTTACTGACAGCAGGAAATAAAACCCCCAAGTGAAAGATGCCTTTCCTATTCCGGGGGATAGGAATAGGAATTGAAACGTGTTGAAACGTGTGATCAACAGAGACAGCGAGTGGAGGCCAAGAGTAACCTGTACAGACTTGTTAAAACAACTCTTACCTTTCTTTAGTCTCCCCATATATTTTTCAGTTACTTTTCCAAAATTGCTACTGTTTGTTTAACCTAATATATAAGTGTTGAGAACCGCCCTGCCTTGTTTAGAAGCTGTAAACCCCTCCATGGCTAAGGCTGAGAAAGCGACCTTCAGACCATAAGCCACTAAGGAGACAAAGCTTATCTCCCTGGCAGGGGCGCCGCTTCTGCTCCTTTTTATTCATCCATAACTGGCCCCCAGTGCTTGGTTGGTTAGCCAATGACAGGTAAGATTCCCCAAGGGGGGAATGACCTAAAACAGGCACGATCACATGGGGGCCCAAGAGAAGGACTTGGGGGGCTACAGCAAAAGGGGGTGATGGTCCCCCACCCCTCAGCTATGACATAGCCTGAGTCCTCATTCTGTCTGCAAGAAGTCTCCTAATCTCTTGGCTGCCTAAGACAATGCCTTAAGCCTAAAACAATGCTGGTGGTAGGTACGCTCTGTGCTGGAAAGGGCGGGTTCCCTATGCAATCAGGCCTAAGAGTATGTAAAATCCTGTGAAACTTGATTTGTTTAGAATGCTCTCAATTAAATAAGGGTCCAAGCAAGAAGTGAGTTTGTTCCTCAAAGTTTTATAGCTCTTTAGCTATCTGACCCTGACCCAAAATAGGCCCTCAGAGTTCTTTGTTATCTATTGTTTGATCCTTACTGCCTGACAATGATTAATGAGTGTTACCGGTATCCCTGTGCAAAATGAACCCAATAAAAGCCCATTGAGGAAAAGGCTCTTGGCCCTTCTCCTTTGAGAGATCGGCCACCCTTCCTCCCCAAGCAGATCGTGTCTTGGGGAACTTACTCTCATCCGTGGTGGCTAGGGGAGCCCTGCGGACGGAGCTCCCCCACATATAAGCACTTGGACCTAGTCACTCTTTGGGTCTTCATTTTCCTATGGGGACTCCCGTGTATTGTAAAAATCTGTATGCTTTTCTTCTGTGATCTGTCTTATATCAGTTTAATTCTCAGGCCCAACCAGAGACCCTGAGAGGGCAGCGGTGAAGTACAGTCTCCTCTCCAATAGCCTCAAAAATATATAATGTAAAATTCAACTAAACATCAAAGAGACAAAAATCACAAGCTTTGGGGGAGGTATTAACACATGTTTCTTAGTAAATGAGAAGCCAACATACAAAAAATAAGTACGGATAGAAAATTAAACTTTATAATGAACAAAAAAGGCATAATGAACATTATATGAAATACTGCCCCCAATGATTAGAAAATTGACCTTAATTGAGTCATAAAGCTAATCTCAACGATTTTCAAAGAATTAAAATCACATGAATCATGCTCACTGAACAAAATGAAATTAAGTTAAAAATCATTATCAAAACAGTAACTTTTTAAATGAATTTTACCTATAGAAATGAAGAAACACATCAGAGAACTTCCTTAATATAATTAAGGTATCTACAAAAAACTAACTGAAACATACTACTTGAGAGTAAAATGCTGAAAGCCTCCCCTCTGATACTGGGAATGAGACAAGAAATGCTCACTGTCACCATTTCTATTGTACTTCAGGTCCTAATGATACAATTTTGCAATAATTATTGATATAAGTATTAAAAATGAAGAAATATAAATGTCATTATTCAGAAAGGAGTAAACTATACACACATAAAATCATAACAATTCTATGGATAAATTACTAAATTTAATATTGGAGTCTAGAATGACTGCTAAACATAGACTGATTTAAAAGTAACTGTATTTCTATGTATCAGACAGTGTAATTTAAAAGCATCATAAGTCATCAAAGACTTAGAAATAAATCCAGTGAAGAATGTGCAACACCTCTACAAAAAAAAAATCTATGAATACGACTGGCAGAAATAAAGACCTAAATTAACGGAGAGTTTCACCATGTTCCCAAGAGGAAACCTAGACACAGGAAACGTGGGAAATATGCCAACTCTCTGAACTTGATTTACGGGTTCAGTGTAGTTGCAACGAAACCCCACCAGGCTGACATTCAAAGGATGCGTTTTGCTGTATGTTAATTACACTCACAAAAAGAGATGCAGACGGTAAATATCCCAGCAAGGTTCTTTGTTTTATTTTGTGAGTGTGTTCTTAGTAGAAATTGACAAGCAGAATCTACACTACATATGTAAACAAATGTAAAAAGGCCAAGAATGCCCCAACCTTAAAAAGAAGAACAGAACTAAGTAGGAAGACCTCCTCCACCTGATATCAACACTCACTATAAAGTTGTGACAGTGGTTGTTGGTATAGGACAGACAGACAGACAGACGGTGGAACGTGAGAGTCCAAAAGCAGATCTTCTCATATACAGACACTGCTTGAACCTTCTTGTACATTTCTCCAAAAGGAGTGAAGAAAAGATTGCTTAGTAATGGAGAAAAATGGTCTTCTGAATCAACAGTAGCGGGAGAACAGAACACATGTAGAAAAAACTGAAGCTTGACCCCTATGGGTGCTGTAGACCCACAGAAATCCTCTTCATGTGGGTTGAGAATCATACGTGACGAAATAAAACTTCTAAACAATGCATCTTCTATGAGTACCACTGGCCTGGTTCAGACTCTCGACACTCCACACACAGACTACCATTTCCCAAGAGTAATTACAGGAAGAATTATAAAGATAGTAGGTTCTTTAGAGCAGTGGTTTTCAAAGTTCTTGACCACAACCCACAAAATTATATTTAAATCACATCTCTCTCACACACACACACGCGCACACACGCACATACCCCTAGATCCTAGATATATAGTAAAAAACAAATTTCACAAAATACTTTTCAGATTGACCACATAAGCTGTGTTCTGATTTTTATTTTTCCTTCTTTTCTCTATTACATGCTTTAAATTAGGTCTAGGGCCACCAAAACGATTCCATAAACTATTAATGGGTTACAACCCATAATTTGAAAAACGATACTTTGAAACACCAGGAAATAAACCTGACTTCAGTCTAGGATGGAATGGTACATTCCTCAAAGAGAATGTTAAGCTAGGATTTCTGAGTAAGACTTAAAGTAGGATTAAAGTATTTAGCTATGAGAGTGACTTGCGCAAGGCACAGGTTTATGATAAACAGCAAAACCAGGACCAAAACCAAGGTTCTTCCCCATTCAATGTTCATTCCATTGCACAAAACAGTTTTTCATTAATGCAGACACACACACATGCACACACACGTATGAGAAAAGTGCAATGATTCTGCCATAAGTTAGTTCACCTTCACAGATATCAAGAAAGATTTTTACACATATTACACGTATATGTTTACATATACTTTATTTACTTATTTTATAAGTAGCAATTGTGCTAGCAATTGCCTATAGAAAAGGCTGATTCGTGTTAAGTTTAATCAGGAAAGTTAATTCTTATTACATCTTATCAAAATATTAATATTTTTCTTTTCCCTCAGAAGCTGATACATTCTATTAGCCCTGCACAAAACGCTCCATCAGAACGTGACGAGGAGAAACCCATCCTCCCGTTTGAAGAGCACGAATAACGTGCCGGTCGCGCCACTAGCACACGTGGAGCTGGGGAAATGTTCCGAGGGACACGCAAAGTGCCTCGTTCCTCCCACTGCACAGCTTACATTCTGCTACGCACTTCGGACAAAAATAATTCCATAGAAGTCACAACACAACTAAGAGACATGAAAGTCCTCTACCTCACATGACTGAGAGCTCTGTGCAGCCCTCACAGAAATGACTTACGGTTGCAGCGTTTCTGGACGAAGCGTAATTTGCATGCTGTTCTGTACGTTGATAGTCTTATGACATCAAAATTCTGAGCACCTGAAAGCGGGGCAAATAAAACATGTTCAACTGGACTTACTGTTTCATTTCTACATGCTGGGAAGAGACTCTATGCCGTTGTGTTGGCACAGTGCATGTGGAACTTGTCAGCTAAACCTTCTGGTAAGACCGCAGGCGGGAGGAAGGGTTGACCAGGCCCGTTCCCTGCGTGCCCACTCCACGCCAGGCACTCTGCTGGCACGTCCGCCGACAGTATCCAGTCCACTGGCCTCGGCAAGCTCCGAGGGGAGGAACACTCATGATCTGCGTTAACTGTGTGTTGTGGGAAGGGGGGATGAAGTCGCGTAGCAGGGAAGACTGTAGCCCAGAGTCGGGGACGTCAATTCCAGCCCCAGCCTGACCGCCAACCGCAGAACCTGACCGTGGCCCCGTCACGTGCCTCTTCTCAGCCTCAGTGTCCTCCTCTGTAGAACGAGGGACCTGGACCAGCTGATCTCTGCGGCCCCTTCCGGATCCGTGGCAGCCTGTACTTTTCAAAAACTGGCCATAATGGAATTTCCAGGCCAGTATTTTATACGGCCTTAATGAATGGAAGGTGGCAGAAGGGACACTGCCTGACTTCTGAAGACAGGTGACGAAAGGTGGTCCGCTTGCCCCTGCTCTTCCTCTCCCGGATGCTCCCCCTGGGAACCCACACTGGCCCTCCCTCTGAGAAAGGACCTCGGGGGCCATCCCGCCTGGGCTCCTGCCGCCCCCAATCCAGCCCCGACTGTGTAACTGTCAAACGCTTTTCAAAGGGTTTAGTCACTGGCCCAGACCAGCAGCCCCATTTCAGGAGAGGACTCTGAGGTCTGGCAAACGAGTGCACTGGCCTCAGCCAGGCAGACAAGAAGTCACAAAGCAAAACAATCCTTCAAATAACAGGACCTCCTCGCAGCCATCTTCTTTTCTTTGTTCAGTTTTACATAACAATGTACTTTTTAAACAGAATTCAAGTTGTATAGTAAAGTAATATACTGAGTACGCCTTCATACTATATTAATACCCCACCCCCCGCTCTAAATGTTGTCCTAACAGTCTTCTCTAGCCAGAATTTGTATCCAGTGTCGGGGACCTTATGTGGCACGTTAATTATGTATCAGCACGTGCAAGCCCACGGTAACGGTGGAGCTGCAGCAAGAGGTCTGCGTTGACTGGCGTGCCTTGATCTGACAGACACTCTAGGGGACACTTCTGCTGTACTATTTTTGGCCTTGCTGAGGGGAGTAGTTCAAGTCAGTTCAATTGAAATAATATGCTCTGGCTTGGGGGTCCTCCAACTCCGTGACTCATTAACTCTCATTCTTCCCATTCAAAAGCTTGTAACTAAAAACTTGTGTGACTTCATCGGGAGAAAAAAAAACTACTCCCACACATGTAAACAAGGACTCCAGAAGCACTCAAGACTTACGCATTTCTATGAACAGCTGCCTCTTCTCCGCCATGGTCTTCCGCTTATTCCCACTCTCCTCAATCATCCTAGAGACAGAGAGAGACACAGTGAACCGCTGTGTACTTTGACAACCAAGCGCTCAGCACTCTATTGTGAAGGAGAAGCACAGGAACCAGGCTGTATATGCACATACTAAGAGGGTATCAGTCCAAATAAAGTGGAAGCCTGATACCAGAGAGATGAACCCTTTTCCCACTGTTTGATACCTTCTAAAATATTAAAAGTCAATCTCAAGTGAGCTCGTACACACCTCTTGTGCTGAAAATACAGGCTGCCTTACTTCTAACTTTGATTGTTTTCTCTGCAGAGTCCTAGATTAGCCAAGGCAGTCTCCCGTGCCCCTGCTGTTTTACACAGGTAAGTAAGGTACTAAGTGTAATTTAGAAAGTAATGATAATGAAAAGCTGTTATAGTAAAGGACATAAAATAATGAGTTTACACATAAATATATAAATAATATCAATTTTTATTTTTTATTTTTTTATTTTTTATTGATTATGCCATTACATTTGCTCTATTCCCCCCTCCCTTCCCCTCCACCCTGCATACCCCTCCCCCACCATTTCCCCCTTTAGTTCATGAACATGTGTCTCAAATTCTTTAGATTCTGTATTTCCCCTACTATTCTTACCCTCCCCCCTATCTATTTTCTATCTACCGTCTATGCTACCTATTTTCTGTACCTTCTCCCCCCCTTCCCCTCCTCCCACTCCCCTGTTGCTAACCCTCCATGTGATCTTCATTTCTATGGTTCTGCTCCTGATCTAGCTATCCTCTTAGTTTGCTTTTGTTTTAGGTGTGGTTCTTAATAACTGTGAGTTTGCTGTCCTTTCACTGTTCATCTTTTTTATCTTCTTTTTCTTAGGTAAGTCCCTTTAACATTTCATATAGTAAGGGCTTGGTGATGATGAACTCCTTGAATTTGGTCTTATCTGAGAAGCACTTTATCTGTCCTGTCGCCCCGTCCTGGTAAACAACTAAGGCTTCGCTCCACTCACTTAACAGCACGAATAAACCAAAAATGGCTCTAGAACAACTCAGAGCCCCAGAACCGATAGACCTAAGTGATGAAGAAATAGCCAGTCTTTCAGATGCACAGTTCAAAACACTGGTTATAAAGATCCTTACAGAACTGGTGGATTTTAGTCACAAATTAGAGAAACATATGGAAGCTAAATTAATTGAAATGAATGCTGATACAAAAGATACCAATAGTAATGGAAAGAAAATTGGGACTCAAATCAAGGGAGAGGACCAGACGGAAGAAAAAAATGATCAAACAGAAAGGAATGAAGAAATAAGAATTCAGAAAAATGAGGAGAAGCTTAGGAACCTCCAGGACATCTTTAAACGTTCCAACATCCGAATTATAGGGGTACCAGAAGGGGGAAAGGCACAACCACCAGTTGAAAAATTATTTGAACAAATAATAAAGGAGAATTTCCCCAAGATGGCAAAGGAAATAGACTTCCGAGAAATCCAGGAAGCTCAGAGAGTCCCAAAGAAGTTGGACCCAAGAAGGAACACACCAAGGCACATCATAATTACATTAGCCAAGATTAAAATGAAGGAGAGAATCCTAGAAGCAGCAAGAGCTAAGGGGACAGTCACCTACAAAGGAGTTCCCATCAGACTGTCAGCTGATTTCTCAAAAGAGACCTTACAGGCAAGAAGGGGCTGGACAGAGGTATTCCAAGTCATGAAAACCAAAGATCTACAACCAAGATTGCTCTACCCAGCAAAACTTTCATTTAGAATGGAAGGACAGATAAATAATATCAATTTTTATATTAAACAAATGTAGGTATTCCTCCCCACACTGGAAGAACTCCTAAATGTAACTTTCTATCACATGGTAACAGCAGTTTACGGCGTCAGACTTAAGCTACGTCAGTGACTTTGTCAGAACGCTCTTCATGCACTACCTCATTTAACCCTCCCGTCGACCCTGGGTGCTGCTATTATTATGTTTTTGTTATTGTCCCCATTTTATAGATTAGGAAACTGATGCCTAGAGAGAACCACTAACTTGCTCAAGAGCCCACACCTCAGAAGTGGTAGAGCAGCATCTCAACTCTTTCATTAAACCTCTTCCATTATTATTGCTTTTAGATGCATATTTTCAAGTATCTAGGCCTAAAAAGCTAGAACAAAAATAGCACATTGCTTGGACCCTGTTGATACAAAATTTGTGACTTTAGCTGAACTTTGCCTTATTCTATGAAGAAAAATACCTAGACAAATAGCATAAGCCAAATAATTTCCCTAAGCAGATTCCACTGTCGTAAATCATTCTCACATATGTTGGAATCACAAATTAAGTAAATGATGATCATGCAAATCACATATCTATTAAAGTAAGGTGCCTGGAGAAAGTTTAGTTATAACTATATCCTAAAGGAAATTAAAAATGTAAATATATTCCTTAACTATTCACTCTGCAATAATATTTTGATAATTAAGACTGGTCCTTTCCTACATCATTGAAATGTTACCAAAAAGACTGCAACACACATGACAGTTACTTAACAATTGGCCACAAGAGGAAAGAATTGTGAACAAAAGAAAGTAAGGCGAACAAAATGCAACCAACATTAAGAAAAAAAAACTAATGAAATCTAGGCCCTAAGTAAAAACAGGAGTTGATACAGGTAGTCTGTAATTACAAAGAAAAAATATTCAAAAGCTTGCTCCCTCTACCCCAATCCTTGTCTCCCATTAAATAATACAGTGTTTAAGTATTACACACAGATTAAAACAGAAAATATCCTAATGTTCTTTATACCTCATTTATTGTATCCTTTTTTCTACTTTTGCTATTTCTTTACACCCCTTTTTCTCAAAGTAGGGTCTAAGACTCCCTGGAGACCCCTAAATTCTTCATGATGACTTTTAAAATTTTATCTTTATTTCCAGCTCAATTTTGAAAAAATTAATGCAACCATATTCTGGATCATCTAGATGACCACCCAACCACTAGCACGGCTGGGCCACTCAGGGCACACTCAGGGCACACACGTCACCCGTACGATGACGACGGCCCTGGGGACAGGAGAGTACAGCAGGCAGGGCAGACAAACTAGGGAAACCGCGCTCCCAGGGCCTGATCCAGCCTGCCACCCGCTTTTGCAAATACAGTTCTGCTGGCACACGGCCACACCTGCTCCTTCACCTGCCACTGTGGATGTGCCCCTGCCACAGCGGCAGAGCTGAGCAGTGGCAACAGAGAGCGTCAGGCCTACGCAGTCTGAACCGGTTCCTATGCCGGGCCGGATTCCGCCTGCGGGCCTCGTGTTTGCTGCCTGTGATCTGCGGCTCCCCGCGGTCTCAGTTCTCTCACACAGAGTATCCTCTTTTCTATCCCTTCTTCTCTCTCTCAAAATCATCATTCAACTAAAGAAAAAGCAGCCAATTCCAACATGAAGGAAAAACTAGCTGTGCCAGACGTCGAACCACTTATATACGTCTGTCCCCACTAGGGTATCGCTCCTGAAAAATTTCAAAAGGAATTTTCATCTACATTGCATTTCCCAGGTACTCACTGGGAAACTAACTCCCAAAGGAAATTAGACTCGGGCACATAGAAGATAAGCAGATACACTACTACAAGGATTGAATATTAATGTTTCAGAAACAATGTTTCTAATGTTTCAATTGCTTTAGGAAATCATATTCATGGAACTACTTTCTTAATAGTTTGGAAAATTGTTCATACTATAGAAAAGTCTCAAAATTCAGAGCTACTGGATAAGGCTAGTCACGACAGGTTCTTTAGAAAATAATTACAAAATGTAAACCACATACCAACCTGCATATGATGTCAACAAAATTAAAATACTGTATTCACGTTGTGGAAATTATTTAGCCATCATATATGTACATGAATAAAGATTAGAAATAAATTTGAAAATGAAAATACATTTGTAAGGTGTGGTTTTCCCCCCTCAAATTTTATTTTGTCACTGTGTTGCCTGACAGTTTATAGAAAGTTGAATGTGTTTGATTTTGTACTTAAGAGTTTCAAAGTGTCTAAATATGGCTCCTTGGAGAGGATGGGGAACGTGCTCGTACAGACTGCTAGTGAGTACGCACATATCGACACATGTGTTCTGAATGGCAATCTGGCAATATCGACCAAAATTTCAAATGCGTACTCCTTTGGCCTAGTAAACACGTTTGTTTATTTGTTTAAAAAGAAAAGAGAAGCAAGGGAAGGAGAGAGGGGGAGGAAGGAAAAGAAACAGTGTAAAACTGCTTACATAACTTACGGGACGGCCATATAACAAAATAGTATAGTCCACAGGTGCTGAAAAGAACGAGACGAGTATGTGCAACGTATGTAAGTCAAAAGGCAAGTAAGGAGCCCCGACTGGTATAGCTCAGCTGGTTGGGCATCATTCCCCAAAGTGAAGGGTTGCCAGTTCCATTCCTGGTCAGGGCACATGCCTGGGTTGAAGGTGCAGTCCCTGGTTTGAGTACGTGTGAAAGGCAACCGATGTTTCTCACATCGACGTTTCTCTCCCTCCCTTTCTCTCCCCCTTCCCCTCTCCCTAAAAATAAATAAATAAAATACTTTTTTAAAGGCACGGAAACAGCATTACAACGCCGCAGATGCTGTTCGTGCCCTGGCCCGATATTGCCTGGCAGCTCACCTGCTGCAGAGGAATTCCTCTGGAGAATGACCTTCAGTGGACCAAACACTCCGTAAGCAACACCTGGGAAATAATTCGCCTTCCAAAGGGACCAACAAGCAATTGCAGCTGGGGACCCACATACGAGGCAGAAGCCCAGGCCTGTAAGTTCTGGATCCTGGTAAAATGGAGTGTGCACACACCAACCTCTCTCTCCCACTGAATACAACCACAAACAGACGTGCGCTGCAGCTATCTCGCACTCCGTGAAAAGTAAATATCAGCAGGTGGATCAAGGGAGAATACAGAATTCAAAATACCACGGAACAGATGGTGAGTTTACCATTCTTCCCTCCTGTATGAATGACCCGGCTTGACCTCGACCCAGCACAAAA